TTGCAACTTTTTTTATTCCAGTCCAGGCTTCAGAACAATAAACCAAACCAACCCACACCCCCAAGGTTGCACAGTACACATTTGTCACCTTCATACCTCCACACCTGGTCCTGCCCCCATCCCCCAGGGACCTTCCTCCAACACCAGTTAGACATGGTGGTCCCCAGGATGCTGCAACAGACGGGACACTCCTTTGCATAACGGCCCCCCCACGACTGAACCATCGGTTTCTCAGGGTAGGAAACCGCTTGTTCTTCACTGAAAAGGCTGATGACGCGGTCTCGGGTTGCAGCCCAAGGCAGGAAACTCCCTCCAGCGACTGCTCCGGGGAAGGAGATGAAAAGCCAAGCAGGTGAAGCCTTTGCCAGCAGAGGAGAAGACATCTCTAGCCTTAAAACCTGCCCCGGCCTGGGCAGGGCAGCGCTGAAGTGGAATCCTCACACCAGCCCAGTCCCGTTCCCTACTCAGCTAAAGCCCCTCCTACGTCACAGAGCTTGTGTTACCGGTGGGCCAGGAGTCTCTTTTTCCAGTCCCGCAGGATCCCCCTTTATTATTATTTTACTTCCACCCTGCGGGCAACTCACCACCAACAGCAAGGGAAGAGTCTGAAGGAGGGGACATGCCTCTGCCCTTGCCGCCATCCGGAGCCGCGCGCCGCTCTCCCCGTCACAGGAGGTACCAGGCGGCAGCTCCTGCCACCACGGCCACGCAGGTCGCCAGGAGCAGCTGCACCAGGGGCTGCTTGGCCAGGGCCACCGCGGCGTGATAGGGACAGCCGGGTCCCACCTTGTCTGCTGGAACACAGAAAGCACCGTCAGCGCCGCCAGGCTTGTGCCACACACGGGTGGCAGCTCTGGCCGTGCCCAACACCTACCTAGTTTGTCTGCATAGTAGGGGCACTTGCGTATGTCTCCTTTTCCATCATGGACTGGAAAGCCTCCGTCTTGGGCTTCTTCGGTCAGTGTCCTGCCAATCTTGTCCAGTTCATCAAACACCTGCAAGCGGTCACAGCGAGTACGTGAAGCGGGCAGGGCCAGGCAGCTTTCACCCAGAACCAACCCAGAACCATCTGGAGAACAGGCAAGACCCACTCCTTCCCTGCCTCACCCCACGCTGAGACAGCACGTGCCCCTCAAGTGGCGAGTGCCCGGCAGGGAGACCTGTGATGACATCGGGCACTTGCTACGGCTCTGAGAAGGCACAGCCCGTTCCACGAGCATCATGTCAGACCCAGGAGCGGGACAGATGCAGTGTCACCCTGCTGGGGGTGGGAGCACGAGGCAACGTGCCCTCCCCTCCTGCTGCAGACCCTCTCTGGGGTCACTGCTCCTTGGCCAGGGAGCTCCCCAAATTCTGCTGCCAGGGGTTTCCACACAGATCCTGACAAAGGCACCAACCACATCCCACCATGTTTCTGGCCAGCTTAAACCACAACGACCTACTACAGGAACAGATTAAAGCTTCCATCCAGTAGATAAGACTATGTTCCTCCCCCCTGAGGCAGGCAGCAGCTCGGTCAGGTTTCATGAAAGGCAAATACTAAGGGAAGGAATAAGAGGCCACAGACATTTGTGGCCATTGGGCAACATGTCAGAGGTGAGACAGGAGAGGAGCTGTAACCAGCGTGGTGAAACACACTCCAACTGTCTGAGGGTGTCTCAGAGGGAGGGCTCTGCTCCCCCCGCTGCTTCAGAGCCACACAGCCCTTGAATCTTGGAGTGAAGTCATCTTCGTTTCGCCCTAATCAAAGGCTCGGCTGTGGGGTCGGGAGGGCTCTGCTCCCCCCGCTGCTTCAGAGCCACACAGCCCATGGGAATCTTGGAGTGAAGTCATCTTCGTTTCACCCTAATCAAAGGCTCGGCTGTGGGGTCGGAGCACGGGAGGAATTCCCATCCATGCCTTCGGGGGAAGAGTTACTCAAACCAGAATCCCAGCCCCACCAGATGGAGGGGCTCCGGTGGTCTCAGACCCCAACCAGTGCCTGGAGGAGCAGCCTGACTGAATTAACTTGGTCCAGACCCAAAAGCAGCAGCACCGACACGCAGAGGGGTTCAAAGGATTAGGGGCAATGGCTTCAAGCTGGAGGGGAACAGATTTAGACTGGAGATGAGGAGAGGGTTCTTCACTGTGAGGGTGGTGGAGCACTGGAACAGGTTGCCCAGGGAGGTGGTTGAGGCCCCTTCCCTGGAGATATTCAAGGAGAGGCTCGATGAGGCCCTGGGCAACCTGGTCTAGTTGGGGGTGTCCCTGCTGACTGCGGGGAGGTCGGACTAGATGACCTTTGGAGGTCCCTTCCGGCCTGGGCAATTCTATGATTCTATGATTTTCTACGTGCATGTTAAATCTGAAGGCTCGGTTGGCCTCTTCCACGATCCTTTCCTTGGTGTTCTTGTCCAAGTCCAGAGCGTTCATCCTCGCTCTGTAGAGCTGCTTGAACTGCTGCGCGTTGGAAACGTTGTCAAACACGTAGAACTGGATCCCTTCCTCGGTACTAGGCAACTTCAGGGCCCTCTGGGCTACCTTCTTCAGCACTTGGCCACCTGAGAGGTCCCCCATGTAGCGTGTGTAAGCGTGAGCCACCAGCAGCTCTGGCTCGTGCTGTCCCACATGATGGATTCTGTCCACATAGTGCTGAGTTGCCTCTGAACACTGGATCTTCTCTTTCCAGTCTTCTCCATAGAAATAGTTCAGGTCTTTGGCCAAGGCTTCTCTCCGGTGAAGCTCTACGGGGAAATACAGAGGAGCAAAGACTGGGTTGTCCTTGTTGCGATCTATTTCCTCTTCCAGAGCCGAGTAGGTGAAGTAAAGTGCCACGGTGGCCAGCTACGGACAGAGCACAGCTGATGTCAGAAGCCATTCACTAGATGGGCACATCACACCTTGTGACTGCTCCCCCCCTCCACCGAGTTGGGGGAAACGAGGAGGAAACCCCCAGGTTTGACTCAAAACCAGCCTGGAGAGCCCGTACCAGGCAGGTATCACCTGAAGGATCAGAGACTCGTCTCTGTCTAGGTCTACAACAACCACCCCTACAGAGCACAGCTAAGGATTAGTCTGATGTTGCCAGCTGTGTGCCCTGGGCCTCCTGTCACCTTGAGAGGAGGGCACAGGGACAAACTCTATCCAAAAAACACAACTGGCACCAACAGCCTTATGCCATAGGGGACAATGTATATGCCAAGACCTTCAGGACCAGACAGCGCTGCTCAGACCTCTTCTACTCAGAAGAGCAAGCAATCCAACCTGAGGCCTATGGAAAACAGCCTGGTCTTCAGAGGACGGAATAAGTGCTGAACCTCATGAGGATTTCACTCCTGAACAGCTTATGCCACCACTGTCTGTGCTGCAGCCACACCTGCCTGGAGCTGCCAGCAGATGCATGCCCAGAAGCCCAGTGCTTCCACCTAATCCAACTTGTGCTGGGCCAAGATGCTCCTCACCCCCTGGATACACCAGGCAGAAGTTCTGGACAAGGGCCCCCCTCCATATCACCTAGAAACAGGATTCTTGCCCCTCCTCCACACCACCTAGAAACTGGATTCCGCCCCATGCCCTACACAGGGGGCTGTGGGGCTCTGCCTCCATCTCCACCAGCCACCGGGTATGTCAAAGAGCTCCTCTGCCACGGCAGCAGAGCAGACCTCACCTTGAAGAGCTCCTTCTTGATCCGACCTTTCAGGAAGTCTTTGACAAACTGAGTGTTCTCCGCCCGGTCGTGGGATTCCTTAGTCCCCTCCTTCAGCAGCTCCGAGAGGTCGGTGGGACTGCAGGCAAACAGGGAAAGCTCCTTTCACTCCACTTCCACAGGAGGAACGTTTGTCCCTGCTGTTTGGAGGGATCCCCCTTACTCCCTACCATCTCAGTTTGGAGAAGGTGGGACCCCTCAGGCTGGCACCACCAGGAGGAAGCAACAGTGGCAGAAGCCAGAGGCTCCTTCCACACAGGTGGGCACCCATGTGCCAGCCAGACTTGCCATTCTGGGAGGGTTGGGGCTTACTGGGGGCTCAGACCCAGGATGCTGAAGCCATTGCCAAGGATCCTCTGATCCCTGCACCTTTACTTTTGCTTCTCATCCATGTGACCCCCAACAAGAGTACAAAAGGAGACCTTGAGGGTATGAAGTAACACCACTAAAGGGTGCAGGAGCCTCAGTGATGCCCTCCTTGGTCAGTCTGGGGAAGGAGAAACGCTCAGGTAAGAGCAGATGCATCCACAGGCAGGACACCAGGTTTTCCAACTTGGGAATAAACTGGTGGAGAAGAGATGAGAGCCCAATGACAAAACAGGGCAAGAACACCCTTAAAAAATTTATTTATCCCGAATTACACTGTTTTTGCAGGTTTCCACAAACTGTCTTTCTGAACAAAAAATAAAGCCTATGATTCTAGGTTGCAGTCACCGCATCCACCTGGAGTTTGGTACAGAGTTATCAACACCTACACTCACTCAAAATTATGTCAAAGTGCACCTTTCAGTTTTTACAACCAGTTTGCTAGAGAGAGCACGTTGGTGTGAGCTGTAAGAGACAGACTTTGAACGCTCCAGACCCACTGAGTGGCTGAGCACCACAGCCAACAGGCCAGACAAGGCCTGGGTGTGCTAGGAGAGCCAGGCAGCATTAATTTCTCCTGAAACTGAGCCTGTCGAGTCAAAGAGGAGTCAACCAGCCCATACCTGGGTATTCTGGGAAGCACCCTATTTACTCCTCCCATTTCCCAACTCTGAAGCCTTGGCTTCTTTGAGCATGCGTAGGAGTGGAGCAATAGGAGGAGCAGGAAGGGTTTGACCCTGAAAGAGGGGAGATGGAGCTGAGATGTGGGGAAGAACTTGTTTGGTGTGAGCGTGGTGAGAGCCTGGCCCAGGTTGCCCCAAGAAGCTGTGGCTGCCCCATCCCTGGAGGGGTTCAAGATGAGGTTGGAGGGGGCTTGGAGCAAATTGGACTGGTGGGAGGTGTCCCTGCCCAGGGAAGGGGCTTGGAACTCGATGATCTTTAAGTCCCTTCCAGCTCTAACCATTCTATGATTCTATGTATTTGAATTTTGCTTTTTAAACTAGCCTCCAGGAAAAGATCCTTGCCTAGACCAGCAGGTATTCTGCAAAGGCAAGAGAGGCAGCTCACTGGGGCAGAGTTCACCTCTGGAGTCATCTTTCAAAACAAGATGCTGTTATCACATGAGGCCGCCCAGCAAGCCATGGAAAACTGGCTCACCTTAGCCAGGAAGGCACAAACACAACTGCCAAACAGTCAAAGCATTTCTGAAATGCGGGTTTGATAGTGGAGACTGAGAAAACAACTGCTTGTTGTCAGCCTTAGCCGGATTGCTCTTTCCCATCCCTTCCACCCTTCCAGTACAGCTTGATTAAATAGATTTTACTGCATATACATTTGATTAATCACCTACTGGAGTTCTTCACCCCTTTTCAGATGAGGAGAAAGACCACTCCTTTAGCTGGAAGGTCTCTTGCCTTGCCCAAGACTCTGTCTGTGCCATGTTGAGAGACAGGACTCACCTGACACTGTTATCTTCTGTTTCCTCATAGCGCAAGATTTCCCCTTCTTCTCCCCCCTCTGAGCCCTCCATAGCTGATGGCATCGCTGCTCAGTGCTGGAGATCAGACAATCTGAAAGGCAAAATTAGAGAGGGATTTGAGAGAGAGAAGCTGCCTTTTGCAAAGGGGTGCAGTCTAGCGAGGGGCCTCAGAGCTGCAGCACCCCACAGGGTTGGTGAGGAGCAGCCACCAGCCATTTCCACCACACAACAGGCACTTTCAGGCCAGCAGTGCTTGTTCAGTTTAGTTACCCCAGGTGAACCTCAACACTAACACCCAGGACAGAAAACATTAACCTCAGCAGAGGTGTACAGCACAGCAAGCAGCCTGCACTGGGCTTCCTGCTCCAGAACAGCTGCTGGATGGAGATCAGAGACCTCAAGGTTAGCAGTCTGCACTGAAATGGTGAGAAAGCTGCTGTCCACCTGTGCTACCAAAAACCTCGACCAATGTTAGACTCTGAGCAGAGTAACTGGAAAGGGAAGCACCTCTCCCCTTCAGTCAGAAGAGCATGCCACTTGGTTTCCACAGCAGTAGGAAGCCTGCAGTCTAGCGAGGGGCCTCAGAGCTGCAGCACCCCACAGGGTTGGTGAGGAGCAGCCACCAGCCATTTCCACCACACAACAGGCACTTTCAGGCCAGCAGTGCTTGTTCAGTTTAGTTACCCCAGGTGAACCTCAACACTAACACCCAGGACACAAAACATTAACCTCAGCAGAGGTGTACAGCACAGCAAGCAGCCTGCACTGGGCTTCCTGCTCCAGAACAGCTGCTGGATGGAGATCAGAGACCTCAAGGTTAGCAGTCTGCACTGAAATGGTGAGAAAGCTGCTGTCCACCCGTGCTACCAAAAACCTCGACTGATGTTAGACTCTGAGCAGAGTAACTGGAAAGGGAAGCACCTCTCCCCTTCAGTCAGGAGGAAGAGCATGCCACTTGGTTTCCACAGCAGTAGGAAGACTCCCCTGGAAGAAAGCTGCAGTGAATTAGGCCAGCCAGGCTCTGAAGTCAAGGCAGCTCACAGGGGAAACAAAAGCCTTCCCTGAAACAGAATATACGAAGAGGAACTTCCAAAGCAGGGGCAGATCTTACTGCTCTGCCCTCCCTGGGCCATACTCCATGAGGAGTCAAAGCAGCCGCTCTCTGAACAGAATGAGCTGTAGGTATCTCCTTCTGCCACCCACACACTCCTCTCCTGCCCAGCAGGTTTACATCAAACCCCAGAAGTTAACTGGGTTCTTCCTCCTCTTTTGCAGAAAGAAAAAAAAGGTCTCCTTGGATGTAGCAGGATGCACAAGACCCACCCAGAAGCAGGAGCACGACACCTGGCTTACTCCATCCAAACCCCCCTGTTAAGCCAGAAATCCAGCCCCCTCATTTATCAAACGGCCCCGTAATCAGCTTTGTGTCGAGCAGCACCACCACCTTACAGGCAGCCTTGCCAGATGGAACTAAGCTGCTTGCTGGCTCTTCAGAAAGCACCCACTGTACAAGAGCCATCCCTCACACTCCCCCACTTCAGCCCTGCTGGGTGGGCTGCATCCCCAGGCTCACTGCTCAGCCCACGGCCAGTGGTTGGGAGAAGGGCAGACACGCAGCTGTGAGCTCCCTGAGCTTGTTAGCACAGAGCCAGCACCAGCACAACAGCTGATGGCTCCCAGTATACTCCAAACACACCAGTTATAAATTAACTGCCCTCTGGTTCTTCACCCCTGAGTTTCTAAGCCCAGTCTTACAGCTGCTCCTGCTCTGGCAGGACTCAGCCAGGAGCACCAGGAGCCAGGTCTGAGCACCCATCCCTGGGTGCAGCATGGCAAGACCCCCCGGCTCGGGCACAGCACCCAGTCTGGAGGACACATCCTCAGGGGTGAAGGTTTCTCCTGTGACCACGCAGCCTTTGGGCTCATCAGGACAGAGCCTTCCCCAAGGGGAGGACAGACCAAACCGTATTACTTCGTGGTACAAGCCAGCCCAGAGCAGCAGCAAAAGCCATCAGGGGTGGCAGCCCAACGTCCCCATTGCCCTGCCCCACAGGACAGGGGATGGCACAGCCCCCCCATCCCTTGGGTAGCGAAATTTGGGGCAGGACGATGCAGCTGGGGCAGAAAGTGCCACCAGCACAGGGGCTCGGAGCTATTTCAGGAAACCAGGTTCAGGTGCTGTATTGTCTATTTGATCATTCACTAGAACATTCACACCAGGTCAGCAAACAGGACCTACCTCCACTCATCACACAGCTTCAAACATCGGGAAATCCCACCACAGGGAAGGGAAAACCAAAAAAAGGGGCAAATAACCTGACCTGGCTCAGCCAGGAGCCTGTCATGGACACAGGGAGAAACAGCCCGCTTGTCCCCCAGTGCAGCCAGCCAGCCTCCTGCTGATACAAACACACAAATTCTCATGACACCCTGGTTTTCCACTCAGCCTATTTCAGGGCCAGGCACTGCTCAAGAAATGCAGATTCCAAAATTAAACTTGATGAACTGGTTCCGATTTATCTTATACTTCCAGAGAGCCAGAGTCCTGGAGGAAGGGTGTGCTGCCTCTGCTCACTGCCAGGTCTGCAACAGCCAGAAGGGGAGAGCACTTTGACACTGTCCATGCCTCGGAAGAGATCTGAAGGTTGATGTTAAATCCAACCCAAAGGAACACACTGGATCAGAAACTGTGGGAAGAAGGGGTCAGCATGCAAAAAGTAATTTAAGGACTCTGGTCTGCTCTCCCACAGCTTTTTTTGTAGAGGCTCAGTGCCTCGGAAGAGATCTGAAGGTTGATGTTAAATCCAACCCAAAGGAACACACTGGATCAGAAACTGTGGGAAGAAGGGGTCAGCATGCAAAAAGTAATTTAAGGACTCTGGTCTGCTCTCCCACAGCTTTTTTTGTAGAGGCTCAGTCTGACATGTTCATCTCTATACACGGGGCAGTGATGACACCACTTCAGCCTGAGGTGAGGACAGTACACACACAGGGAAACTCGGAAGCTTAGATATTTCCCAAAACCATCTCTAGTATAGACACCCCCCTGATGAGCCAAGAATTCAGGAGACAAGTCAGCACAAACCAAACCCCTGTCCTTTTCAGTATGAGGATATCGCACAAGAACGCGGAGGAGGGAAAAAAAAAGAATCAAAAGCATTATAACTCTCATAGACTGTTATAAAACTGGCAACTGAAAGCCCACGACGTGGCCACTGGTCAGAGCCATGGTTTCTGGGGCATTCTGCTCCTCTGGAAGAGGCAGTGCCCCACACAGCGAGGGGGAGGTTCAAGCAGTTGCCCTCCTCCGCTGCAGAGGCTGGAACATCATTTCATTTGCCACGAGAAGCTCTGCTCATCAAGACCCTGGCTGATGTTCAGGGTAAACACATACCTCCCGGTGCCCTGACGGCAGCAGCCTGTTTGGGAGAAATCCAACAGTCACAAGAGTCGGGATAGCAGGGCTGCAGAGAAGGTTTGGTACAGAACACCTCAGCACTCCAAACATTTATTTCCCAATAACAGCGTTTAATCTTTCAGAGAAAATATCCCTGTCTCATCCAGCCAGCAATTAGTTTGCCCCTACACACATTTCCACAGCAAGCTTAACACTCAAGATGCACAGCTGTTCTCCTCAGGGTGAGAGGACAATCCCAATAACCCTGTGCCTTTTGAAGGAAGCACAGGCTGCTGCAGGGATGCTGAAGTCCTGGCTTTGCTTGGGCACCCTCGGATAAACTTCAATAATTCACAAACACCCAAGCAGCACAAAGTTCATGTTTGCTGTTCAACTAGGATGCAACTTCAAGGTGCTTCCCCACCTGCAGAGCTTACATCCTTATTTTAACAAGGGGCAGAGTGTGCCTGGACCAAGCATCACTGCAGCTGAGACAAACCCAAGAACTTCAGTGGCTTGAAGAGTCATCACAGAGGTACCCTGCCAAGAACATCAGGAGAGCCTCACGTCTCCTCCTCCCCCTGCGGAGGTATTTGGCACCGGCTGCTACTGCAAATGGAGGCTCACAGAATAAATTACTACATTACCTGATCCCAGGTAGGTTTGAGACTTCATCTAGACACAGCCAAAATTTAGGCAATAATTCAAGTCTAAGATGCTACTAGCAGTGCCCACACAGACCCTACTTCTGTCTCCCAGAGCTGCAGTCCAGCACCTCAAGAAATTGACAGTGGAGGGAAACTCCCAGCAAATTCACAGATCTTGTCCAGCTCCACACTTCAGTAAGCGGCCCTCGTGTCAGGCAGCACATCGGGAATCTATTTTTGCACACTGGCTAGGAGAACAGCACAAAGGGCAAGTAAGTCAGACAAGGTTAGATCTGTGGGGGAGGAAGGAAAACCTCAGCGTGACAGATAAACAGCCTTTGCTTTGGGGAGAGCCAGCACTCTCTGCCTGTCCCAGCAAGCAGCCAGCTGTGCCAGGGACACCCCCAGCAGGGCCAGTGACAGGCACTTACAGCTGATGTATGTAACGTGTACAAGCACCAGGCACTGTGAGACTTGAATAAGGCATCTGTTTCACCCAACAATGGAAAAACATTGATAGCAAGAGGCCTCAGAGGGCCGAGAAGAGCCAAGTGCCCCCCATACCACCAGGAGAACTCCCATCCTGAGAGACATCCTTCACAAGAAGCTGTCGTCCCCCCCCCACAGCGGAACCGCTGCGGGGACATGAGGCGGCTGCTCTGGCTCACGTCCTCGGCTGCTGTGCGGTCGTTCGCCCGCGGGGGCAGAAGGAAGAGATTAGGGAGGCCTGACGAAGCCTGGCCCCGGAGCTCGGCCAGCCCGGACCCCGCAGACGGGGACTGTGGGCCCCCAACAACCCCAGGCCCATTGAGGCCCGTATTCCCGCGGCGTGACACCGGCAGCCGGTGCCGGCCACTACAGGCCTCCCTGCGGCCAAGGGCTGAGCAGGGCCTTGAGACGGCCTGGCCGGTTGGCCCAGCCGAGCACCGCCCCGCCGCGCGGCACCGGGCCCACCTGCCGCCGGGAGGCCGGGGGAGCCTGGCCTCCTTCCCGCGGCAGGGAAGCGGTGAGCGGAGCCCCGCAGGGGAAGGGAAGGAGGGTGGGTGGGGAAAGCCCCGAGGGCCTCAGCTCGGTGCCGGCCTACGGGACAGCGGCCCCGGCGGCCCAATCCCGGCCCCGCCATCGCCACCCCCGGCCCGGCCGCGTCGCCATGGAAACGCGCCGCGCGCACTCACCCGCCGTTGCCCCGCGCCCTCCGCCCCGCGGCGCCAGACAAAGGCCCGGCACGGCCGCCCGCTATTTATAGACACGGGAGGGAGGGGTGGGGGGGAACTGAGGGTGTGGCCAATCAGGAGCCACCGACCGCCACGCTCCGGCACCGCCCATTGGTGGAGGCGGCCGGGGTATCACGCGGAGGCCCTACGCCCCTCCCCACTTCACGTCCGCCCTCCACCAACAGCGGC